GGCGTCGCCCGTGTTCACATGACACTTAACCAAATCCGTACGTCCAGGGGCTTTCGATGTCGTCACAAAAATGTCAAATTGCAGCAGCACTTTGCGCAGTACTTCTCGTTGGTCCAAACTCAGGTCGGACCCTTCCCAGTTGATCGGTATCTCTTTGAGGACCGTTGTCGACGCCGGAATTTTCATCAGGACCGGGCATATCACCCTTGGGTGTGCTTGTTGTGTCCACACAGTCCGTCTTTCCCCAACCGAATCCGAACTCCGGGGCGGATCTTGTGTCGGCAAATCTCGATCAGGCGGTGGCTCAGGCGCCCCCGCATCCGCATACCCGTGTGGGAGAGTTGCTACCAAGCCGACCAAGGTGCCACAGCCGATCCTGATCGTGTCCTCGCTAGGATTTTGCACTTGTACCCATATCATGTTCGATGAGGCCACACCAAGCGATCGCGCCATGTGAATTTGGAAACCCTGGAGGGATTCCGACAACACGTGGGTACTGCAAGGTATCGGCGTGGAAAACGAACACTTGACCATCCGTCGCTGCCGAGGACGGATCCGTAGTGGATTCCGGGCCAACGTGGTTAAGTCCGGCAAGAACATCCTCAGGGCCAACGTGGTCAAGTCCGGCAAGAACGGCGAATCACTCGTAGCCATCGCCATCGTAACCTGACTCTTCGGATGCTCGTCAATTGGTGTAAGCTTGATCACGTACGACGTGTGCGGGATTCGTAGCTCGTTCGTCTCTAAATCAATGACCGCTTTACACCGCCGCAGAAGTTCCGCCTCGCCAATTAACTGACCAGAGTCCGCAGCCACCGAACCCACCGGCAGACGGGGCGTTCGCGCCAATTCCCGAGATCGCAAAGATGTCACCTCGGCGGGGTGGACTATATGACCCGCCGCGAGTTCCAGCAACGCGCGACGCGGCGCAAAGCAATGCCAGTTGAGTCGCCACACCTCATCTGGACGCCGAGTCGATTCCAGATCCACTAATGGGATTGACGCGGTGAACCCCAATAAGTCGAAACGGTACTCGGCACGCCCATAGAAATTCACCCGCTTGCTGGGCCGGACATCACACCCGACCGCTGCTACGACCGATTTCTCGAACATCTCGGAAGTCGCCAGGTGTAGACGGCCAGACTCGGACTCGGCGACCAGACCAACACCATGAATTTCGGTGGAACGGACGTATTTGCGGTAAAACCGGGCCCACCGAGTAGTCGCCACCAATGCCGATCTGTTGTCGTTGAAATTCCGATCCGCCCGACGAGCTTCTTCACACGTCTCCACGGCACTCGCGAACCACCGAAGCCATCTGGCCGGATCGTCCATATCCGTCGGAGTTTCCAATAGTCGCATATCCTCGTCTGTCAATTTCCTCTGAATCGCTTGCATGATCACCTCCGCAATGTCTCGATGCGTGGGACTCTTGCGTCGGTCGCGGATTTTCCGTACTTGGTCCGCCACGTCCGCCTTGGTCAACGGCAACATCCGATCTTCCATGTCAGAGTGAAGACCTTCAACGATCCCTGGAAAGTCGCACCGGACGATCGCTTCAATTTGGTGAGGGGTGAACACCCAGCGGACCGACGGGTCATTCACAGACGGCAACGTCAGCTTTTCCGGTCCCGTGACCTGCGACTCCACTACGGTCGAATGCGGCAAATCTGTATACCCGCCGGCTGTCGACGCCGCACCTTGAACAGACAAGTCCACCCGTACCGCTCGTGCTTCCGATGACGCAACCGAGTCGACTACCGACTTTTCATATTGGTCATGACTATCCAACGGAGCCTGCTCAACCGCCGGCTCACCCCGTATAACTTCCGTCGGAAAGCCCACGTCGACTTCCAACGCGTATCCAACACGACCCAACGTGCGCATCGAACCGTCGTGGGAGTACCCCTCTACAACTGGACTGCCCGCAACGTCGTCCTCCGTATCAACCTCATGACTCGGCATATCCATCGAGCCCACTCGTATCACTTCCTCATACTCTGCCTCCTCCAGGGGGCTGTCTTCATCGCAGTCCATATTTTCTTCATCCAGGCTCGACTCTGAGCCTTCACCCGGAACCGGCAACTCCACTGATGCCACATCACCCACTGGATCCGACATCCTCGTCGAACCCTCTCTACGCCCGGACAGCACGAGCTGCTCGTGTGTTAGTCGTGCCTCATCCCTAGAGCTACTGATCGCACGACCAGCACTCACACTTTCCTCAACATCCGATCGGTTGTCCGGGTTCACTCTCGTCACTTGTCGACCCACGGACTCCACACCCAGATTCCTTATCGACGTCGCCACTCGCTGTCCGTAGTTCTCACCGCGTTGTCGATTCGCCGGCTCAGGAGTATTCGTAGGTTCCATCACAGAAGTTTTATTGGGAGGTACGACGATGCTCGGGCCACTTCCTTCAGCCTGAACGTCGTCCCTCCCATATGAACCATTGTGCGCCGGAGGAGTCTGGGTCCCTTCTCGTGGCACATACGAAGCTTGGGGCACTCCACACGAAGATGGCCCGGCTCATTACAGTTGTAGCATCGGCGATCCCCCGCTAGCGCCCGCGGTTGGAAAGGAACCGAGCATTCCCAGTTAGCGTGACCCACGGTGTTGCAACGAGAGCACTTCATCTTAGCGTACGGGCACGCCTCACGCCCATGACCACTTCGTTGACAACGCCCACATACCACACGGCCCGACAGTGTCGTCGTCTCGTCGGGATCCATGCTGATATTCGGCACCATCGGCTGATTTCCCGACGGACGACGCGGAGCGATGTTGGCCACTACATTCGTCAATGAAGCCAACTGGTTTTGCATCATTGAGGCTACATCCGCCCGAAGCGCCTCCATAGCCTCTTCTGTGGACTTGCTGGTCGCATCCGTCGAGTTCGTACGGTTCACCCGCGTCGCCGAGGACGTAGATCGGGGAACGCCGTGTCCGTTCGCGTCATTGAGTCGCATATCAAGGTCCATGACGCGAAAACGAAGGTAGTCCAGGCACTCCTGAATCGAACCCGGTCGCGTCTCCGACCCACGGATGCACGAGGCCACGCCAGGGTCCTTGCAACCGTCGATGAAGATCTGCACCGCTTGAGAATGTCGCAACTCGAGATCTTGGGCGGCATCGTTGATACGCCACGCGTATTCCCGGACGGTTTCTTTCGCCTTGCGGATACTGTTCTGCGTGATTTCGGCCATCTTCGCGCTCATGCTCTTCTGTACAAACTCCTTATAAAATGTGCTTCTTGTGCTGCGCCAAGTCCGGTTCGAGCCTTCGCGGTGACGACGGGCCCACCAATCCTGGACAGTACGGATCTTCGACTCGGCCACGCGGTATTCAAAGATGCGGATGAGCTCGATATCCGTCAGCTCGAACTCAATCTGAAGGTCGGCGAGATGTCCCAAGAAATGGTCCAATTGCAACTTGTCCACACTTTCGAGCTTCAGCGATTGCTTGCGGGCGTTGCCGACCAACGAATGTCGATCCACCGGCCGACGGGAGTATGGGTCCGCACCAAACCGTGGATACGGAGCCGGATCTCCACCGCCATCACCACCATTCCCTCCGGGTCCGCCACCCCCACTGAGTCCACCCGAACCATATGCGCCTTCTCCGAACTGGCGCGGATCGTTCCCGTCACCGCCATCGCCACGGCCACTCGTAGGGGCAGGTGCGGACCGGCACGGCTCCGGACGAAGCGGGGCGTGCGTTCCCATCGTCGAAGCCAGAGCCGGCTCCATAACTGAAGTGCTCGTTCCCGCCATGTACACCGGTATACTATGACTCGTCGGAAGGA